GAGAGAGAGAGAGAGAGAGAGAGAGAGAGAGAGAGAGAGAGAGAATATGCATGTGTAATTTTGGGTTTGTTATTAATTTGGTTTTGGTGGTTTTCTTTTGTTGTATGGTGTTCTTAAGAAACAGGGTCTCTCTGTATAGCTTAAGCTGGCCTTGAACTCAACATTCTCCTGCCTCAGGTCCCCAAGTTCTGGGATTATAGGCATGAGCTAACACACCCAGCTTTATAGTAGAGACTTTGTCTTTCTGGTTCTTTTCCATTCCCATTGTCTATATGGTGCCTGGCACATAGTAGGTGGTTCATACACGTGACTATGTGTGTATGCATGTACATTTGTGGGATGAATTATACCAAGAGGAGGCAGAGAAGGGCAAAGTCAGAGTAAGCAGGTAACTATTAAAAAAAAATGCAGCTACTTGAAAGCTTGCTATGCACCAAGCACAAATTGGTCACAAATCTAAGAGAAAAAAAAATAAAGCTGCCTAAACTTAGGCTTCAAAATCAGCTGTTAATTGCCCAGCTTCTGATCATACATGTAGACTCACATGCTTAGCACTTAGTAGGTTTTCAACTAGTCCGTTTGGAACATAGACTAGGAAAACATTATGTAGCTGTGGAAAGTTTTGCTTGTTGAAACAGGGTCTCACTCCATAGCCCAAGCTGGCCTCACACAATATCCTCCTGCCTCAGCCTCCTGAGTATTGGGATGATGGGCATGAACCACCTTGTATGGCTTATTTGTGGTGCACTTGGATAATTCATTTTCTTATTAAGTAGCCCTCTTTCCTTTGGATAATGGCTATCAAAATGTCACCGTTCGGGGCAATGGGATGAGATTTAGTGAGTAGATGTCCTTAGCACACTAGAACACCAGAAGGTGTGCCAGAACAAAATGGGCGGCCCACATCCCTGCCCATCAACTCTGAGCACCACGCATGTCCCATGATACCTGCAACAGTGTACAGAGCTGTGATTGCCAGGAGCCCCACGATGGCCAGGTACAGATCCAGGTGCAGGGACTGCTGAATGAAGATGGCACCTGCATACATGTCTACCTGTGGGATTAGAAATCAGTGGGTGGATGAAGGCGGCACCTTCATACACATCTACCTGTATGACGGAAAGTCAATGGGTAAATGAAGATGGCACCCGCATACATGTCTCCTTGTAGGATGAGAAGTCAATGGGTCAATGAATGGGTGATGAACTAGAGAATGGATGGATATGGAGGAGGCAGTGGGTGGATGTATGAGTCAAGGACTGGATGGGTGGATTGAGGCAGGAGTGGGTGGATGCATGGACCATGGAATGGATGGGTGGATTTTAGCAGGAGTGGGTGGATGCATGAACCACAGAATGGATGGGTGGATTGAGGCAGGAATGGGTGGGTGCATGGACCACGGAATGGATGGGTGGATTGAGGCAGGAGTGGGTGGATGCATGGACCATGGAATGGATGGGTGGATTGAGGCAGGAGTGGGTGGATGCATGGACCACAAAATGGATGGGTGGATTATAGCAGGAGTGGGTGGATGCATGGACCATGGAATGGATGGGTGGATTGAGGCAGCAGTGGATGGAAGATGGGTAACAACAACAGCAACTCCCCAGGAACAGGCTCTCTCCCAGACTCTGACAAATACAGAAGAGCCACACACATTTATTTCCCTATCCATCTCATCCTAAACTGGGGGGCTCAAAATGAAGCCCCATGGGCAACTGAGTTTGAAATACCTGCCCTGTACTCTGGCAACAGACTCATGACCTTCCTGCTTCTGTGGGTCTTTCTGCCTGCTCTCCTCCACAATGCAACCTTCATGCTCCACCCAGGATGACATCATCCTTCTCTTATTAAAGCTTATGTGACTTTCCCCTCATCCACAATAGAGCTGGGTGAGCGCTGACACCAGCCCTTCAAAGTTGGCAGGCTTAACCTTTATTCACTCTGTATTTCTAGGGCTCTGGGCTTTCAGAAACAGTCTGTCTCCTAACATAATATGTTTTGGTGCATCTTCCAGCTTTGACCGGTGGTAGTCCAGCTATCTGGAATGGCGGCACCCCTATTTCCAACTGGTGGATTCCTCCTAAGATGACACCCACCCCTTACCAATAAATAAGCATCCTAGGAGTACCATCTGCAGCTAGGACAGTCAGTTGCTGCTGTTTGTCTTAAGTGCAATCTCTTCTGTCCCTAACCCGTGAAGGACAAGATCATTGCCACCCCCAGAGCCAAACCTAGTGAGCAGTCCAAGCCTGGAAGTTCCAGTGCACCTGCTCTTTGTCACCTTCCTGGAGATCAGCCCATCCAAAGGTCAGAGTGAGACAGGCCCCGGCCTCCTCAAAATATCTGATTAATACCTTACCACTCCCTGATTCTGGAGGAAGGTCACAGTCCTACCCAAGAGCAGGGAAGTGGGAGTGTTTCTCGTATCTCTATTCAGTGACCCCACCATCATGCTGAGATGTCACCGAACCAACTTCGGCAGGCATCGGAAAAGATTCCCTGCCTCTGCCTCTCCTTCCTACATGCTTCTCCTGCCCATCTTACCCTCCTTCCCTCTACTTCCAACATCAAACCAGTCCCAGGGGAGGAGAAACAGATATGGAGGAAACTCTCACGGTACACTATGGTCAACTTCTCGCTGTGCTGTAGGAGAGTGGCCAGACCATGTGTCCACCTTACCGAGATCTTAGTGAAGATGTAGATGAACAGATAGAGCACAGCCAGAGTGATGGAGATCCTCCTGCCCCCGAATCGTCTCCTGAGGTATTCCGGCATCGTGGTTACCTAGGAGTTAAAACAGCTTCATCGAACTCAGCTGACTTTGGACATTTGCCTCTTCAGCCTGGCCACCAGCCCTGCCCACCTCCTCCATCTCCACAAATTTAGAAGAATGGATCATCATCTTGGGCTTCTCCACAGGAGACTTAAGGAGGAAGAAGACTTAGAGACTTGGGAAGGGGGCAGACTGGATTCTGTAGAGGGCTGTGCACCTAACCTATTGTTTCAGGTTTATTTATTTGTGTGTGTGTGTGTGTGTGTGTGTGTGTGTGTGTGTGTGTGATGAGTACGCAAGTGTGGAAGTCGGAAGACAGCTTGCAGGAGTTGACTCTCAGGTTGTTAGGTTTAGGTTTGGCAGCAAGCACCTTTCCTGGCTGAGCCACTTCACACACACTCCTACCCCAACTACTGAGGCATTCTGTTCTCCATCCTAATTTTGTTGTATACTGGCTTTAACTTAGTTTTCTCTATTTAAGTGAACTTATCTTTTAACCTAAATAACTTTCTCCAAAAAAGAAAAATGATACATTATTTTTAAAGCAGTTCTGGGAATTGAATTCTGGGGCCTCTTGCATGTTAGGTAAGTGTTCCCCTGAGCTAACTCCAACCCTTGAAAATGAAACTTTAAATTGCTACTATAAGTGGGAAATCAGTACCAAATTTAAGGGAACCGGAAAACTGAATATAGGGAACAACAGAGCAATGAGGCATGCCATCTGTTCTCTCTTAGCAACTTCCTGTTGCTGAGAGCCACTCACGGGGCCAGAGATAAGCCATCCATGAGCAGAGGAGCAGCTCTAACTGGACACAGCAGAGTATCAGGAAGAGGGAACAACAGCATGCAATCGTAAGGGGACACATTGGGGCAACCTAGGGTGAGGAATTGCAGGAGGAAATGTGTATATGATCATAACATGTCCTGTACATACATGAAATTGTGAAAGAAATAATGTTTTTATTTTAAAAGAGAGGAGCGAGAGAGAACGTTGCTGAAGTGCTAAGGGTATCCAAGTGCACACGAGACTTTGCCCTCTCTGTCCCCTGATAAGATGAAACTCCCACAGTGATTGCATGTCGGTTAAGAGCAAAATAAAACTCACTTCAAAACTTAAGGGGCAAGACCCACCAAGCAAGGTGGGTATATGCATGTAATCCCAACACTAAGGAGGCTGAGGCTGGAGGATTGAGAGTTTAAAGTTGTGCAGTAAGACCCTGTTGTCAAAAATAAAAATAAATAAATAAAACCAAACCAAAACAACACAGCCTTGAAAGGTCTTAGAAAGGAGTTTCACTCCATGGTGGGGGCATGTTTGGCCCCACAAACAGCACTGAAATCACGGCAGAAATCTCCATCTGCTCATCCTCCCTTTGGAATTCTGGGACTAGAATATGCAGAAGGAAGAGATGGTACACAGAGCATCTTTATCCCAGAGATGCTGAGTTCTACCAGCGCCTGGATGCGGGGCTGGGGGTCTGAAACAGAGACTGTCGCTCCATGTGGGATGCTTCAGGGACGGCCATGCTGCTAAGAGCCATGATTTGGGTTGCAGTGTTTGAAGGATATGGATTTCTCTCTCAGCCACTCTGGGACCTCCGACCAGCGGATGTTCTTCCACAGGTCCCAGGAGTCAGATGGGGAAGGATGGGATAATGGTACTCATGGGGCATATTTCTACGTTTGGAAAGGCTGTGTTTGTACTCAGCCTCTTCCAGAAGCTCACATGTGGAAGGCTTGGTTCCAGTCGATGGACCCAGTCAGAGAAGTGGTTGAATCTGAAGGGCTCTGACTAGCAATGAATTAATCTCCTGATGGATTCCTAACTTAATGATATCATCAGAAGGTGGTGGGAGCTAGGAAGAAGACCTGTTTGGAAGGGTGGGTCACTGAAGACCTGCCTTGATGGCTGGCTTGTCACCAGCCCCTTGGTGTCTCTGCTTTCTGGGGGACCATGAAGTGAGCCACCTTCCCCACCATCTTTCCCCTCCATGATGTTTCTGCCCTGCTATGGGTCTGAAAGGAAGGGAGTCTGCTAACAAGAGATTAAAACCTCTGGAAATGTGAGAATAAACCCCTCCCCTGTTTATCTCAGTGGCCAGACCTGCTTCAAGAACAAGCCTTTGCAGTGATCTCAGCATTCTGGAGACTGAGGCAGGAGGATTACCAGTTTGAAGCCAGCCTGGGCTACCTGGTAAAAACCTGACTCAAAAAAGTTAAGCTAGTAACTTAATAGTAGAATCTGACTGAATGTTCTAGTGTTTTGAGTGAGATAAGTTAAATGCTTATGCATGTTTGAATTTTTCATAAAAAAATAAAGATAACAATAGATATTTGTGACAGGTTTAATAAAGCTCCTCTCTTCGTCTCTTCTCCTTAAAAGGCAAGTTGGGATTCTGACTCCCGTGGATGTCCTGCATAAATCCTCTGATTTGCTCCAAGGTAATCTCAGCAGGAAGTTTCCAGAAGTATTTTATATGGAGCTCTGACACTGTCGGGAATAATGCAAGCCTTGTACACTGTGGGATTTGAGACTTAATCAGGGAGTACAATGGGTGCCCCGGTTCATTCAGATAAATGTTTCAAAACAGCCACTCTGGACAACCACTATCTAATCTGCCAATGACAAGACAACTGCCATCTGGGCTTGGCTCCTGAGCTAGACTCCTCTCATTGGCTCTCACTATCAGTTGCCCCTGGGATCAGTCGAGGATAGCTGCTACAGGAAGTTTCTAGTTATTAAAGACAGGAGAAGAGGAGGAAGAAGAGGAAGAGGAAGGAAACAAAGGAGAGCTTGCTTCATTCACACACTACATGAATTTTCCGATCTCGAAGGTAGCCTTTATTCTGAAGTGCAAACCATTCAGGAAATAGCCCAGTGAGTCAGAAAGCCTAGACCACATACTCCTCCGACTACAGACACAAACCACAACTGACTTCAGCGAGGAAGGCCCAAGGGATCACCATCACTCTTGCTGGTGCTGACTGAATGGGCAGAAGAAACAGATGATAGATAAAGTAGCACAGACCCATAATCCTGGCAGGAAGGTCACAAATTCAAGGTCAGCTTGAATTTAAGAGACTTTCCCAAAAGCTAACTAAAACAAGATAAGTTGAACAAAAGACACCCACCCTTGGAGATTACCAGTCCAGCTCCCAGGGCTCTGGCTGACACACACACACACACTCCCTTGATGGTGGAGGCTTTGGAGGGGGATCTCAGAAACTGTGTCCTCTCTCCAGATCAGGTCCGGTTTGCCCCCAATCCATGCCCATGGGAACTCCCTCACTACTCTGTGACATCAGTGCCACCTGCATGAAGCTCAATGCATGGCTCTTCACTGGATGGTCAGTCACACAGAGGAAATGACAGAGTGCACCACGGTTGCTTGGTGACACCTGAGGGCTATGGCTCAATCTCCATGTTCATAAGCAGAGCCAGTCTCTAAGGATGCAAGTATTTGACACTGACCTCTAGTATGGGGAGGTTTCAGTCTGTAAAGTGCAGTGGCATCAAAGGGCTGGGGAGGTCTCAGTCTATGATAACCAGGGTCCAATCCTCAGAATCCATGTAAAAACTAGGTGTGGTGCACACTTAGCAATCCCGGTACTAGGGAGGCAGAGACAGGATCCCGCCCAGTCAGCCTAGTCGAATTGGTGAGCCCCAGATCCCAGTGAGAACACCACCTAAAAAAATAAGGTGGTGTCGGCTCCTGAGAAACAATGCCTAAGGCTGAACTCTAGCCCAGATATACATGTGCATAAGCATGCATGTATACCACATACATGTGCACACACATATATGCACACGCAAATAATGAAGAGAAAATAAATTCTCAGCGGATAACAGCAAATGGAAAAATTTTAGAAGATAGTATTCAGAAAAATATCTTTGGCCTTGGAGTAGGTAAAGATTTTTGGTTTTGTTATTATACGAGAAAAGGTTTATATACTTTATAGGCCAAACTAACCTGCAACTCATGTGGCCTAGGCTTGTCTCCAACTCATGGCAATCCTCCTGCCTCAGCCTTCTGAATCTTACTATAACAGGCATGAACCATCACACCTAACTAGAAAAAGACATTTTAAGCAAGACATTGAAATGAAAGGGGATAAATGAGACTATGGTAAGACTGAAATCGGTTTATGGAGAAACTCCAGTAATTAAGTGAATGACTAGGTGTAACAGGATAGAATGCCTCCCTGACCTGTGAAAGGCACTCCTGGCACACATGCGCGCGCACACACACACACACACACACACACACACACACACGCACGCGCACGCGCACACGCACACGCACACACACACACACACACGCACACGCACGCGCGCACACACACACACACACACAGAGGGGAGCAGTGAAAAAGACAAGCCTCAGAATAGAAAGGATATTTGTAGCCCCTAAGTACCCCAACAGCTTATTTCTAGAACTGACTTTGTAAACTCCAGAATTTATAAATCAATGAAACAAGTGGTACAGCTTAAAACATAAAACTGCGCGAAAGTTCTAGATGACCCTCTAGTGGCTTTCCTTCACTCAAAGTGGTCAGTTGGTGAAGGCTCACAGTTTAATCTGGGCTCAGGTGCTCATGGTGCTGTCCTTGATGCTGTCTCTGTCCCTTTAGACCTGAGGCGGCACCACGATGGGAGCCTATGGCCTAGAAAGGTGCCTTCCTCACTGTCAGGAAGTAAAGAGAAGCAAAGGAAGAGACAGTGGTCCCACAGCCCTCTCCAAGGACCCCAACTCTTAAATCCCTCCTCTAATGACCACCTCACTGGAGATCCAGGGTAACACTATGACCTTCAGGGGACAGTCCAGGCCCAGACTGTGTCTACAAGCTTCAGAGATGATTTTCAAAGGACCAGAAAGTCATTAGAACTGACAATTAAAAGTTCAGAGGTGGCGCTGGGGTGACAGCTGTGTAGTTAAGAACTTTTACTGCTCTTGCAGCAAGTCACATCGAGTGACTCACGACCACCTGTCGCTCCAGCTCCAGGGATCTGACTCCTTCTGGCCTTCATGGGCACTGTACACACACACACACACACACACACACACACACACACACACACAGAGCTCACAGAGTTTTAACATCAGGCAATACCAAAGTGTTGGTAAGGATGTTTCAGTACTGCACAACATGGCCTCCCAAACACTTCAAGGAGTGGGGAGCGAAACTGCTTTGGAAGAAGGGTTGGCCGCCTCATGTGAACCTAAGATAAGCCTGGGGGCTCCCCTCACTGAAGATTCTCGCCCTCGGCATGTGTTTTCGTGCATTAAAACTTGTGTAAGCCAGGTGTAGAAGCTACCTGCAATTCCAGTCAATATTCAGGAGGCTGAGGCAAGAGGATTGTGGGTGGGAGGCCAGCCTGAGCAAGACCTCGTCTCAAAATAACTTGTAATAAGGTGTCATTAAGCAGCATTGTCCCTCACAGCCCAGCAGAACAAACTAAAAGCCCACATGTGGCCGAATGGTTAATTACAGAAGCTGGAGCCGACCTACCCCACAGTGGCGAGGGCAGCGGATTCCCATCTCACCTCTCGCCTCACTCTGTAGCTGAGGATGACTAGCTACCCACATCCCAGTTCTACCCATACACAGCTTTAAGGCCCTACATCAGCTGCATGAAGCTCCATTCTGCAGGGCATATTCTCGAAGCTGTGAGTGGCTGGGACTCAAGGAGAAGAAAGCATCTGGAAGAGAGGTTCACATCTGGATATGGGTGTTCATTTTACAGCAGTTGGCTAAGCGACACGCGTGTGCTTTATGGCTTTCCTGTATGTTTGCTATGTGCTGCCACGCCTGCCTTGACTTCCAGTAAAAGCAAACTGGACGGTGGTTTAGGCTCTCAGTACCGTGGCACTTACCCAGCATGGGCTCACTCTCTCCTTTGCATACCTGAAAGATGCCGCCCAAAGGATGTCTAAAAAAAATCCCAGGAATTTTATTTTATTTTTCCTTATTTTGTGGCGCTGAACATGGAACCCAGGGCCTCATCTGTCTGGGCTGCTAAGGTACCATTGACCTGCACCATAGTCCCAGTTTCATCTTGTTAGAGAACAGTGCGAGAGTGGCTCCGCTCTATTTACATTGTGCCTTTTCCTGGCCTTGCGTACCATGAAAGGATGTCCCGCCTTCATTGGAAGGCACTGTGGCTGTTGACGGGTTCTCCACTACAAGCAGCTACAGCATCCTGAGCTTTCTCAGATCTTTGTGACTTTTCTCAATCTCGCCCCATGCCCCCTAGCCAGCCAGCCCCTCAGCAGGTGACATTGTTTTCTACTAGCCAGAAAAAAATGGGATCCATCAGCTGAGAACACCCGTCAATCCCCCTTCAACTCTGGTGAACAACCTGCATCTCACCACTCCCTTTCCTACCCCCAGTCTGTCAGTTCAAACCCATCGCTTAGCAGTAGGTAAAGGTGCCTGCAGCCCAAGTCTGACAACCCGAGTTTGATCCCCAGAACCCATGGAAAGATAGAACCAGTTCCTGAAAGTTGTCCTCTGACCTCAACAAATTCTATGGTACACATGCATCCATACTTACACACACACACACACATACACACACACATACACACACACATTCATGCTCATCACTCCCAGTCCTGTGTTGAAACACCTGAGATATTTTGTGCATGCACCCTATTTTACCTATTTTGCAAGACTTCATGAGCAGACCCAGGACCCCTTGCTCGTCCAAGCCTTCTTTAGACTCTTGACAACCTCCCCAGGGGAATCCCTCTGTCCCGACACTACCACTTTTAAACTTTACATAATTTCTAATGCCCAAACTCCTCCCACTTTGCCTATTTATGAATTTACATATTACGAAGTTAAAGTCATTTATTGCGCACTCAATGGGTGGTTATGATGCCATGTGACTTGACAGAAACGAAGGCCCAAGGGACATGAGTGACAAGGAGCTGACAGTGGTATTAGAAAAGTTTTGCAAACAGCTTTCCACCAAGTCTAGGCCAGGACTGTGGCTTGGTGTTAGCTGTCCTGATTCCATCCCCAGCAGACACACATGTAGACACAAACATATGTAGATTTCTTGTTTGTGCAACACTACGTTGACATTCCATCTCAGTCAGAAATAGCTTTTATAGATTTGAGCGTAAAGGAAAGGAACCACTGCATCACATACATGCATATGGATATATATGTGTGCTTGAATTTTAGCTAAAAGCAACATGTTATGGCTTATGCATGTAAGGAACCGCAAGGCTTATCTTTGTGTTCTGACATTGAAAAGATGTTTTGAGGCCAGCCTCTGAGTACCCCGTGTGTGCTGAGGATATTGGGTACCAGTCAGACCTGTGTGGGATGGGGTTCCTTTGTTCCTTCTCACCTGTTCAACGTCTGGCCCCAGTGCCAGGAGACTTAATGGCTGTCTGATGGCTATTCACAGGTGGGAGGGGATACGGGCTGGCCTTCCCAAGGGTGTTCCCATGCCATACTGCCTCCCCTTCCTTCACACTCACCTGACCAGCAATGTAGATGGGAAGGAAGATCCAGGCCAGCATCAGCACAGAAAACAAGCCCTGCTCAAAAGAACACAGTCAGCTCTGCCCACACGATGGAGCCATTTTCCTGTGTCTTGAGTTGGTCTAGCCTACACTCCACCCCCCCCCCCCCCCCGAATTAATCACTTCCTTGCTGAGTGGCTCACTTTTCCTGGCCTTTATATCTATCCATGTTTAACATGACAAGAGGTTAACAGCACACAGCAGAGCACCTGAGGCCTCAACTTCTTGGAGGATGAGATGGGGTCATTTGAGCCAAGGAATTTGAGACCAGTCTGAGCAACATAGTGAGGCCCTCAAAAAAACAAAACAAAACAAACAAACAAAAAAAAACCACCCAAAACAGGGAGAGAAAGAGAGAGGGAGAGAAGATGATTAAGTAGGAGAGACTTGGGGGACATTTAATTCTGTCTCCTAAACACAACATTGTCCTCTTTGGTCAGTTCTGCATCACCCTTCCCCTGCAGTGGTGGGTTATACCAAAAGGGAGCTGAGGATTCTGAGAGAGTTACCACAGGTCTCAAGAGCCATCTTCCTCTGTTATGAATTAAACATAAGAGGGCCTTCAGGGGAATCGGCCCAATGGTACTGAAGAAGCAGTTAACCTATGCCAGCATCTCCTCTGCACCCTTCACAATTAGGAGTTGAATCAATCCTCACACATGGCAGGGACCCATGGTTACTCCCTAATGTATCCAGGAAGTCCAGAAAAGTCAAGTAACTTGACCAGGGTCACAGCATGAAGGCTGAGGCCACCTAGTTCTAGCCTGGAGGCGACTCTACCATGTGAGGGCATATGTGACAAAGGTGTCTGTAAAAACTGTAAAAGGGCTCATGTTTGTGAAAGACAACCGCCTGCAAGAGAAGCCACTCTGAGATGCCCGATATGACATCTCCATGTCTCCAGGGACATGAAGGACACATCCCACTAAGCATTTTGTTCCAGTAATGGCCAACTGACATTTAAAATACACAGCTATGCCTCCTGTCCCCTGCCACCTGCCTTTTTCCACTTCTCCGAGAAAGCATCCTGAGCCCTCACCTCGTGATTTTCAGGGTTGTGGCCCGATGGGTCCCCACCAAGCAGATACAGAGAGATCCAAATAAATTTTGTTGGCTAGGAGTACGTTTAACACCTCCTGTTTGCTGAACTAAAAATGCCATTTCATGTTTAAAGTGACAAGCATTCCCACACCTCCCCAGGGTTCTTCTGTAGAACAAAGGGGAGATGTCTGTCTCACGGCAAAACTCACGTTAAGCTCATAGGCAGCAACAGAAATGCCCACAGCGGCACCGGATCCTGCTAGGCCGATGAAGTGTCCGCTGCCAACATTGCTGGCGAACAAGGATGCACCCACCTGTGGGGAGACAAAAGGGAAAGGTCCTGGAACTGCACCTGGGAAATTGTCCCTATTCCTAGTTCGAACCATTCTTCAAAGAGACCAAGACAAGTGGGGAAATAGAGACTGTTGGACCATTCTATCCTACATGCCATATTTGTGGAGGGCACAGCTTGAAAAACTGTCTGTAGCATCCATGGTGGACAGGATTACAGCTAAATGCTTCATGATGTAAACCAGCTCTGCTTTCCAACTCAGCAACATGTGCATGCATGTGTGTGTGTGTGTGTGTGTGTGTGTGTGTGTGTGTATGTGTGTGTGTATGTGTATGTGTATTTGACGGTATCTATAGGTCCACTTAAAAAGGAATAGCTAATTGGACTGTTGGATCTGTTATCTGTGCCTTCAGCATTCACTCCACTTGGTCCCAGGAGTGTTCTCATATTTTCATTCTGAGTTTAGCAGCTCAGTCCGCACTCTCCAGGGCAGGGGCTGAGCATGACAGTAAGGCTTTGGTATCGTGATATTCTGTTTATGATCTAACAGATGAAGCTTGCCTGAAGATCAGAGTGCAAAGCTAGCCACACAAGCCAGGCAGTGGTGGCACACACCTTTAATCCCAGAGGCCACACTAGTTAGCCATAGAGGCTCGGTGGTGGTGGTGTACGCCTTTAATCCCAGTACTAGAGAGGAATATCAGGTGGGATGAGACAGGAACTCACTCTCTTTTTCAATCTGAAGATTTCATAGAGGTAAGAACTCTCTAGTGATTGGCGGCTTTGCTTTTCTGGTCTTCAGCTTGAACCCCAATATCTGCCTGTGGGTTTTTGTGAATCATGCTACACTTGAGCTCAGCAGTGCAGCAGTCTACCCTAGCCATGGTGATGGTACAGTGATGAACTTGAGATGTAATCAGAGATAAAACATTTTCCAGGGATGCAGTCAGGGAGGCAGAAGCTCTTCCCATGCTAGCCTGGCCCTGAAGAGGGTAAACAGTCTGGAGTGGTGTTTTCCATGAAGTTGGAATTGTTTGTCTATTGAGATCTTACAGTAGGAGAGTGATGTGGGATTCCCCTCTGTATAGTGTGAATATGTTTTATTACCATTGGTTAACAAAAAAGCTGTTTCAGCCAATGGCTTAGCAAATTAAAACCAGGCGGGAAATCTGAACAGAGATAGAAGAGAGAGTAGGCAGAGTCAAGGAGATACCATGTAGCTACCTAGGGAGAAAGATTCAGCAGACAGAACCTTACCCAGTAAGCCACAACCTCATGACGATACACAGATTAATAGAAATAGGTTAATTTAAGATGTAAGAGTTAGTTAATAAGAAGCCTGAGCTAATAAGCTAAACAGTGTTATAATTAATATAGTTCCAGGGTGGCCTGGAAATGAACAAGCAGTCTCTGTTTACAAATGGCGCCCAATGTGGGTCAACTACACCTACATAAAAACTGAGAGATCTTGGGAAGGAATTCTAGACACAAAAGAACAGAGTTAAGCATAGCTTCGTGGTAGCCACATTTTTTAAAGATAGACTCTGTTTGCTGGCAGAGAGCAGAGGTGTGGCTCCTGTAAGATGGGCATCAAAAAGGTTCTTTATAGAGATTTTTAGCCATTTGGGCAAGAAACTGCTCTTGCCTGGACTGCTTGACAGTATGCTGTATGAACCGGACATGCCAGACCCACAGAAAAATGACTGCTGAACTTGCCTAAAGAAGGTGAGACAGTCCTGTAGGATTCCTGCTTCATGAAAGAGTCTGTCAGACATTCTGCAGGACACAGATGAAAGTAACTGACAAACTGCCAATATAGGCAAAGCAATCTTTCAAATTTCCTGATTCATGAAAAAAATCTGTCAGCTACTGTAGGCTGAAGATGGGTGCCCCAATGTTACAGAAGAACTTTGGGTGACTAACCAAACAGCCAAATGTCTCTGTTAATCTAGAGTTTTGGAAGTTGCTTACAATGCACTTCCTGTTTACTTAAGTAATATTATATCCTTCTGAGGTCTTTGAAATGTTGAAGACAGATAATTACAATTTTTCCTAGTTATGATAAAATATAAATTAGATATGAAACTTTAGATTCACAAAGAAATATTTTAACTGTAATTCTTGCTTGATACCTGTTTTGTTATATGTAATTTTACTATGTTAAAGTTAAAACCTTCCTTTTTATTTAGGCAGAAAAGGGGAGATGATGTGGGATTTCCCTTTGTATACTGTGAATATATTTTATTGCCATTGATTAATAAAGAAGCTGTTTCGGCCAATGGCTTAGCAAAGTAAATCCAGGCAGGAAATCTGAACAGAGACAGAGAGAAAGAGTAGGCAGAGTCAAGGAGAGGTCATGTAGCTGCCTAAGGAGAAAGACTCAGCAGATAAAACCTTACCCAGTAAGCCACAACCTCATGGTGATACACAGATTAATAGAAATGAGTTAATTTAAGATGCAAGAGTTAGTTAATAAGAAGCCTGAGCTAATAGGCCAAACAATGTTGTAATTAATATAGTTTCTGTGTGATTATTTGGGTCTGGGCAGCTGGGAAATGAACGAGCAGTCTCCATTTACAGGAGAGAAGCCGAGGCAGATAAGTGACAGATGAGGGATGGATTGAGGGATGGATAGATGAAGATTGATGATAGATAAATAGATGGTGGAGAGATATTTTGAGAAACTAGGTCAGCAGGTTGTAGTAATATTGATAAACTGGGCCTCTGCAACCATCCTATAGGTGCACTGACAGGTTCTTTTTGTGTAAATAAATTTGAATTGGAGCAAGATTTTCTTTAGCTTTCACTCCAACCTGAAGACAATATGGAGCAAAGCAATGCCAGGGCTTGAAGAGTCTTTGAGGAATGACTGGATTGGGAACCAGAGCCTTGTGTACACTAGGCGAACGTCCACCACAGAACTTCTCCCAGCCTGCCAAGTGAGGAATGGAACCAGAGACCACTTACAGGCCACCACACCATGTCGCCTCCAGCCAGGAAGTAGCCTTTCACTGTGTCCCTCTTGGTCTTCACCGTGGACTGCAAGGAAGAAGAGGGCAGGTGAGGAGAATGCCAATGCTCAGGTGTCCGAAGATGGCGGGGACTGTGAATGGGGAGGCTATGGAGTGAGATTCATTTTGTCTGACTGAAACTTTGATGTAAATGTCTTAAGGCAGACCTCATCTCTGGCCAGTGCAGCCCTGCCAGTCCCCACATCATGTGTTTTTGTTGTTGCTGCTGATGGTGTTTTGTTTGTTTGGGTTTTTGCTTTTGTTTTTGTTTTTGTTTTTTGGTTTGGGTTTGTCAAGACAGGGTTTCTCTGTAGCTTTGGAATCTGTCATGGAATTAGCTCTTGTAGACCAGGCTGGCCTCGAACTCAGAGATTCACCCACCTCTGCCTCCCAAGTGCTGGGATTAAAGGTGTGTGCCACCACCACCCGGCTCACATGTTTGTGATAACCTACAGGATCCTCTAGATGTCTGAGCTGCAGATCTGTGGCTTGCCAGTGGCAGCTCAAAATGAGTTTCATTGTTTTTAGTATTCTAGAAAATGTTTCTATGAGGTCTTTCACAGATACATTTAAAATAATTACATTTTAAATAAATGTAATTTATTTATTTTTAAAACATTTTTTATAGTTTATTTAACTTTATTTTATTTGAATTGGTATGAAGGTGTCAGATCCCCTGCAACTGGATCTTCAGATGGTTGTGAGCTGCCATGTGGGTGCTGGGAATTGAACCCGGGTCCTCTGGAAGAGCAGTCAGTACTCTTAACCACTGAGCCATCTCTCCAGTCTATAAATGTAATTTATTTAGATAATTAAATAAATTTAAATAATTAACAACTGCCATGAAAAATTACAGATGTGAATTACATTTTTTTATTTTAAATTTTGAGATGAGTTTTCAATGTAGCACTGGCTGACCTGGAATTCACTATGTAGAGCAGGCTGGCATAACACAGAGATCTGCCTGCCTCTGCCTCCTGAGTGCTGCAATTAAAGGTGTGAGCCATGCACAGCCAACAGCAGCTTCTTTTAATCCTCACCCACCCCTATGAGGTTGCTGTTTGGGAACTGGTATCACTGGTTGAAGAGGCTATGGCTCAAGTTCCAGTCTATTTGGGCTGCCAGTACCCAGAGGTAGGGATCTGTAAACACCAAAATGTCTCTCTCACAATTCTGGAGAGCTTGGGATCAAAGGCCAAGGTGCCTCTGGAGAGGGACTGTCCCTCTAAATGCAGCCTTCTCTGTGTTCTCCCTCATGTGGTGGGAGAGAAGAGGGGCACAGAAAGGACTGGCTGTGCCCGTCTCTTGTCTAAGGCTGCCCCCTCCTGACAACCACTCCCTGAAGGTTCTGCCTCTCACTGCCAGTACGCAATGATTAAACTCTAACATGAGGGGTTTGTGTAGCCTAGACTTGACCTCAGACTCCTGTGTAGCTGAAGGTGACCTTAAACTTCTGAACCTCGCGTTTTACATCTCCAAGGGTCAGCACTATAGTTGTGCATCACTGTGCCCGGTTTATGCTGCACTGGGGACCGACCCTAGGGCCTCACACACACACGCTAGGTACACAGTCTACCAACTGAGCTAGCCCATTAGTAATTCTTTTCTATCTAAAATTTTAAGTTACAGTTATTAATGTATTCATTTGTGTTTGTGTGTGTGTGTTTATGCACACGTTAGTATGTGTGAACATGTACTTGCCATGGCAGATGTGTGAAAATCGGAAGACAGTTTGTGGGAGTCAGTTCTCTCCTTCCACTGTGTGAGTTCTGGGGATCAAACTCAGGTTGCCAGACTTGGCAGCAATGCCTTTACACATTGATCCATCTTGCCCGATCCTACAAGTAATTTCTTTTCTTTCCTTTCCTTTCCTTTCCTTTCCTTTCCTTTCCTTTTGGACAGGACAGCCTGGCTGTCCTGGAACTTACTTTATAGACCAAGCTGGCCTCGAACTCACAGAGATCGGCCTGCCTTTAAGATTGAAGGCGTGTGCCACCACACCCAGCGACCCCATAAGTATTTCTTTTTTTTTTTGAAATATTTATTTATTTATTATGTGTACAATATTCTGCCTGTGTGTATGCCTGCAGGCCAGAAGAGGGCACCAGACCTCTTTACAGATGGTTTGAGCCACCATGTGGTTGCTGGGAATTGAACTCAGGACCTCTGGAAGAACAGGCAATGCTCTTAACCTCTGAGCCATCTCTCCAGCCCCCCCCCCATAAGTATTTCTTAAGCATACTCTCTGGAAGGGTGTCCAGCCTCATTCACTGTAAGTGAATGTTAGCAATGTCCTGAGATATTCTTTCCCCGTGTCAGGCTGGCAAAAATGAAATCAGTGCATTGTTACTAAGAGTGAACAGACCGGCATACATCACTGCTGAGTGTGCGGACTAACGCTAGCCTAAGGAAGCTAGCCGGTGGCGGGAGGATCACAAGTTTGAAGCTAGGCTGGGTTATGTAGCAAGACATTGGCTACAAAGTACATATAATTTGTTCTGATTTGCTTTTAAACCTGGAAGAGTACATTAGTGAACAGTATGTCAAATGCTCACAAGTTAATAATAGTGGTCAACTGAGAAAGGAATGGTCACAGTGGGACTTTATATGATATTTATTAAACTGCTATTAGCTTTGAATCATGTGACTATAGTTATATTACCATAAAATGAATATATATATATATATATATATGAATATATGAGAGCATAGGCTTCAAAGTAAAGGGAATGCAGATTCTAGCTTCAAGTCTCATAATTTAGTATTAGATTAAAGAACCTAAATTCCGGCCGGGTGGTGGTGGCTCAGGAGGTAGAGGCAGGCAGATCTCTGTGAGTTTGAGGCCAGCCTGGTCTACAAGAGCTAGTTTCAGGACAGGTTCCAAAGCTACAGAGAAACCCTGTCTCGAAACAAGCAAACAAACAAACAAAAAACAAAAAATAATCTAAATTCTTTGTACCTAGGTTTCTTTTGTTTGTAAAATGATATAAGATCTTCCTTGAGGTGGGGCTGGAGAGATGGCTCAGAGATTAAGAGTACTGACTGAGTTCAATTCCCAGCACCCATATGGCAACTCACCACCATCTGTAATGAGATCTGGTGTCTTCTTATGGCCTGTAGGCATACATGCATAATATATATATTTTTTTTTTAAAAAAAAAGCTCTTCCTTGAGGGGTTGGAAAGACAACTAAGTGATTAAGAGTGCATATGGTTCTTTCAGAGAACCTGAATTTGGTTCCCAGCACACACATCAGGTGACCCACACCCTCTGTAACTCAGGGGACCTCACACTCTCTTCTGGCCTCGTCTGACTTTTGTGGGTACAATCAAACATGCACATATGCATAGAGTAAGACAAATATTGGTTTTCTAAAAAGAGATCTTCCTTGCAAATCACATGAAATAACAAATGAATATGTATTGACCTATTGACCAGCACAGTCAATACACAGTGCATTTAAGAGAAAAGAAATCCAGAACCTCCTGTATTCTAACCAAGTGCTTCACCCCTGACATGTACTCCAAGCACTCTGCATATTTTGGGTTTGTTTTTTTTTTTTTTCTGTGTATCCCTGACTGATCTGAAACTTGTTATAGAGGCCAGGCTGGCCTTGAACTCACAGAGATCACTTGCCTCCACATACTTCAAGTTCTAATTGCTGTAGTTCATTTCTTCCTCTCTCGGTATCTTGTTTTCCCAAAGGATACGGTTTACTTTGGAGTTTTGACCAGCTATTCCCTCCTTGCCCCATCTCTCACCTCATCTCCTGGCTTACCCATAATCCAACAGCCAGGACAAAGAGGAAGTACAGAACCAGGACAGCGATGTCCCCAGGCTCCAGACTCTTCTGGGGGAAAGCCTCCAGGGCATCAGACTGTGGAGGCTGAGGGCTGAGGGTGCCACTCTCCATGGTGCTGAATGCACGTCCCTGTTCTGGGGAGAGCAAAGCAGTTAGATTCCACACCCCAGAGCCCCTTCCCTCATTCCATCTGTGGCTTCCTCCCTCTCCCCATGGAGCAGCAGCAGCAACTACAAAGACCTATCTGGATGAAGGGAGGTGTGGTGGAGCCAGCTTCAGGAAGTCAGGTTCATCTCCCCCACCCACAACCATCCACCCACCCTTCCACCCACCTAGAAAACACAAAGAAGGTGCTCACATTGCTACAGTCGGTTTGTTTGCTTGTTTTTGCTAATGATTCAACTACTTGCTCGACAAAATATAAAGAACAAACAATTCAAAGAATACAGACAACACTGGGCAGGTTAGTAATCCCAGAACTCTAGAGACTGAGCCAACAGGATTACTGGGTGTGAGGCTAACCTGGGCTAAATAGCACGATGCTATTAAAAAGAGAATAGGATACATAAAGTCCCAGCATGCTTTTTGTCCCAGTCTGGTTTCTGTTGCTGTGGCAAGCACCATAACCAAAAGCAACTTGGGAAAGAGTTTATCTTGTCTTTCATGCTACAGTCCATCACTGAGGAAAGAAAAGTCAGGCGCTCAGTGCAGGAACAGAAGCAGAGACCATGGAGGAACACTGCTCACTGGCTTGCTCCTTCCCAGGCTCAGGTTGTGCTCCCTTTGTTATACAGACCAGTCCTACCGCCCAGGGATGGCGCTGCCCACAGCAGACTGGGCTTTCCCACGTCAATTAGCAAATAAGAAAATGTCTTGTATGACCACAGGCTAATCCAATGGAGGTAATTCCTCAATTGAGCTTCTCTCTTTCCAGGTATCTTAGTTTGCTTTCTGTGGCTGTAATAAACACCATGGCCAAATGCAACTTGGTAAGAAAAGGGTTTACTTGGCTTACACTTCCATGTCACAACCCATCACTGACGGAACTCAGGAGCTCATGCAAGGACCTGGAGGCAGGAGCTGTTACAGAGGCCGTAAGGGGTGCTGCTTCCTGGCTTGCTCAGACTTCTTTCTTATACCACCCAAGACCGCTTACCTAGGGGTGGCATTGTCCATAGTGATCTGGAACCTTCCACATTAACCATTAGTCAGGAAAATGTCCCACAAACTTGCCCCAGGGCCAATCTGATGAAGGCAATTCCTCAACTGAAAGTCCCTCTTCCTACCTATGTCTAAATTTGTGTTGAAAAGACAAAAAAGAAGAAAAGAACTAGTCTGCACACGCTTCTACTTGGTAAGCATGTGGCCTACAGTGAGTAAAATGGGAAGAGCCAGCCAGACATGGCAGTCTTGTCCTAACACTGCATCCACCCATTAATTGCAAGCATTTTTGGGGGGTGAGGGGGTTGTAGACCAGGCTGGCCTTGAACTCACAAAAATCCACCTGCCTGTGTCTCCTGAGTGCTGGGATTAAATGTGTGTGCCACCACCGCTCGGCATAATTGTATACATTTAATATACACCCATGCAGCACTTGCGGCCTGCTTGGATTCCCTCTAAGTGTTTTCTACCCTGCAAGGTGAACACTTTCATTATCATCCTCATTTTGTAGAAGGAGGTAGAAATGTTAACGAGCTTCCCCAGGTAACACAGCTCAAGTGGAAGGATTCGGATTTGAACGTGAATAACCTTGCTCCAGAACCCATGCTTTCAAGTACTATTAGAAACCATTTCACTGGAGATTGCTCTTCTGTGGACATTTTAAGAGAGTCCTTTGATAGTCAGAATAATGAGCCCAAAGGTATGTACATTTAATCTCCAGAACCTGTGACTGTGTGGTGTTCACCGAGAGAAATAAGACGGCTACCCAGCTGACCTTAAAATAGGCAAGTACCTTGGAGCATCTAATACAATCACAGATGACACTGAATCAGAGGGGCCAGAAAGGTGACAGCCTTAGAAGTGTGCAGTTTGGCATTGCTGGATTTGGACACGGGATGAAGGGTCCCTGAACCAAAGAGTGCAGGTGGCTTCTAGAAGCTGGCAAAGCAAATGAGCAGACTAGCCCAGGGCCTCCAGAAAGAACTCAGTTCCACTGAGGCCTGTGTGTGTGGTGCAGGGTGTGCAAGTCATATGTGTGTGCCTGTGTGTGGTAGAAGGTGTGTAGGCTGTGGATGGGCCTGCGTGTGTGCTGCTGCACAGACCTGGGGGGAGTGCAGAGGTAAACATTAGGTGTCTTCATCTGGGGGCTCTCGACATTATTTTTTGAGATAAAGTCTCTCATTGAACCTGGAGCTCACCCAGTGCCTAGACTGGCAACCCAGAAAGTCCCAGGGACCTGCCTGTCTCTGACCTTCTCAGAGCTTACAGATATTACACACATCACAGGCTTGCACCACACAGCTTTATACAAGGGTCATGGGGATCTGAACTCAGGTCCTCATTCTTGCACATCAAGTAGTTTGCCCATTTAGCTGTCTCCCCAGTCATTTGCTGACAACTAGATTTGAACCCAGCAAGGCCCATCTAGCACTCTGAACTCTAGGACTCAAGGTAATAAGCATGGATTGTTTTAGCCACTGAGTCTGGGATAATAACAATGAGAAGCCAGCAAAATCCCTTAGGTGGTTCTAACTGGGGCATGGGCATATTTATGCCATTCCCTGTCAGCTGTGGGGTAAGGAGTGGCCAGTCCTGACAGTCTCCGGTGTGCACCTCAGTACTGGAACAGATCCCCAGAGACAGCGACCATCTATGACAAATGGAGAGACTCAGACAAACCAGATCTTTAAAGAATCCAAGCTCTCGCCCAAGCGGTGGTGGTGTGCACCTTTAATCCCAGCACTCAAGACGCAGAGGCAGGTAGACCTCTGTGAGTTCAAGGCCAACCTGGTCTGCAGAGTGAGGTCCAGGACAGCCAGGGCTACACAGAGAAACCCTGTCTCGAAGGAACAAACAGATAAAATGTTAAGATTTAAGCTCTGGGGCTGAGGGTGGCCACTGGTAAAGTGCCTTCTGTATGAGCGTGAGGACCTGAGTTTGATCCTCAGTATCACAGTGAAATACACAGCAAACAAAAAACTGGGCTTAGTGATCCGATCTTGTCATCTAGGGTCTTGGGAGCCAGAGACAGGAAAATCTCTGAGGCTCGCAGACCAGTCAGGCTAGCCTAATTGTGAGACACAGGTCCCAGTGAGATGTCATTTCAAAAAAGCAAGGTGTGTGGTCTGGGTTTGATCCAACTTGACTTCTAGCATCCACTTGCATGTGCACACAAGTGCACACATACTTGCATACATGACCTTGTATATGCACCAAAGGAAGGAGGGAGGGAGGAGGGAAGAAGGAGGAAAGGGAAAGAGGGAGGGAGGGAGGAATGAAAGAGAGAGAGAGAGAGAGAGAGAGAGAGAGAGAGAGAGAGAGAGAGAAGGAAGGAAGGAAGGAAGGAAGAAAGGAAGAAAAGAAAGAAAAAAAACCAAATTTACAATTGAGATATCGCTATCACTATGGTAACCATGCTTCTAATTTAAGAAAGAATCTTAGGAAAAAATGTTTTAGAAGATATTATAAATATTAAAAACAAGTACATGACTGAGTATGGTGACCCACACCTTTAATCCCAACAGTTGGGAAACAGAAGCAGAAGGATCTCTGTGAGTTTGAGGCTAGCCTGGTCTATGTAGTGAATTCCAGGACAGCCAGGACTATGTAGAGTGACCCTATCTCAGAAAAAACAAAGAAACAAAGAAACAAACAAAAAACCCAAAATTGGGCCAGGTGGTGGTGGCGCACGGCTTTAATCCCAGCACTCGGGAGGCAGAGGCAGGTGCATCTCTGTGAGTTCGAGGCCAGCCTGGTCTGCAAGAATTAGTTCCAGGACAGACTCCAAAGCTACAGAGAAACCTTGTCTTGAAAAAACAAACAAACAAAAAAACCAAGCAAACAAACAAAAAACCAAACCAAAACAAGTACACACGTGTCTCTCATAAATCGGAGAAGGCTCTAGATAGTGCAAGCATGTCTTTTGCCCCCATGACTGTCTGGAATGCTTAGCTATGAAGTAGTTCTGGGCACTGCAACACGTGTTGCAACTGACCTCTACATACTACGTGTCTAGTGGTATAAACCAGTCTCTACATACTACGTGTCGAGTGGTATAAACTGTCACAATCAAAAGGTTCTCACATCCTGAAAGACCAACATCCCCAGTGTACACCTTTGCTCCAGGCTAAAGAGTGTCATCAACGGATTTTTAATAAAGAAGTGGAGGGCCTGGAAAAGTGGCTTGGTGTTGGAGCGCTTGCCTAGTGTGCACGAGGCCCTAGGTTCCATTCCCAGCACTGCAGTATAGTACTGACGGTAATAAGGCCATAATGTAAGCAGTAGAGGGTAAAGAGATACATGGCCCAGGCAGAGCCATGGGCTCCTCACGTTCACCTTCCTGCCCACCTCTGACTGCTACTTGAGCCTATCCCTTTACCCTCGACTACTGTTATAACAAAACTCCTTAGCCTGAATACATTTTTAAAGGTTGATTTTATGTGTACAGACTTGCGCCTGAGCATATGTATGTGCGCCATTTGCATGACGCTGTCTGCAGGGCCAGAAGAAGGTGCCAGATCTGCTGGAACTGGAATTCCAGGTGCTGGGGAGCTGCCTGATAGGAGTGGTTGGAACAGAACCCAGCTGCTTTGCTCAAGCAGCAAGGGCTCTGAATGACTGGGTCATCTCTCCAACCCCCAGACAAAGTTCTCAATGACATGACTCCGTTGACTGCAGTTCTAGAGGCCTCGGAGCCCATGATCAAGGTGATGACTGATTTGCTGTCTGGCGAAGGCTGATCTCCTTTAAATGATGCCTTTTCTGCCTCCTCCCATGGTGGAAAGAGCAAGCAGTCTCCAGCAAGCTTCTCTTATAAGGAAACCAATCCCGTTTGTGAGGGTTTTGCTATATGACCTAAGCACCTCTCAACGGCCTTATCACTATAGATAGCACTGGACCTTGGGTTGTGACCTACGAACTCTTAAAGAGACACACACACACACTAACCACAGCGCAGGGAGAGGAGTAGAGA